ATAAGGAGAGGAATCTGGGAGAGGGAGAAATACCTTTTCTGTAATAGGTCACAGCAAAGGTAAATTTGTCAACCAATTAAGAATTATTCATAAAAAAAATATATTTGTGTGTATATATACATTGAGAGATAATCGGTTGAATTAAAACCTATAGGCTACACAAGAGTTATGATCTACATGTATACATCGCCAGTCGAGGAGATTCTAATCCCTAAAACAAGGAATAAAAGAAAATTCTCAGCTTATATACACAGAGACACTCCACTCTGTGTAAGTAACCATGGAGAAATAAGCATCTTAATAATAATTTTAATAAGATTTTATTTCATGATACAATATTTGTACAGAGTTGGGTAAAATTTAGATGTGCATGCAGAAAACCCATTGTTATGCAAAACATTTCGGGCAAACTATGTTTGGGGTTAAATTTAAAGCCTATCAGCTTTAGGGTTTAAAGCTTACAGTTACAGTAGCGTTGTTTAGGCTATACGTAAAGTTTTCAACACCAGATAAGAGTACTTTAAGGAAAGTAAACTCTCAGCATATGTACGATGAGAGAAATGCATCTCTGTGTATATATCCTGTCTTATACACCTTTCTGTGTATACATACCTTAGATATAGAATTATACTTGATACACCTCTAGGTGTATATATCCTGTCTTATACACCTTTCTGTGTATACATACCTTAGATATAGAATTATACTTGATACACCTCTAGGTGTATATATCCTGTCTTATACACCTTTCTGTGTATACATACCTTAGATATAGAATTATACTTGATACACCTCTAGGTGTGAAGATTGAACACTATAGCAGCAATATGGGGATTTTTAAATTCAGGAAACGTTTTCCTGAATAAGATCCCCAATAGCTCTCATAAAGTTCAATCTTCAACTTGTCGGTTTTTCAAACCATTCATCACCTCTAGGTGTATATATCCTGTCTTATACACCTTTCTGTGTATACATACCTTAGATATAGAATTATACTTGATACACCTCTAGGTGTATATATCCTGTCTTATACACCTTTTGGTTATACATACCTTAGATATAGAATTATACTTGATACACCTCTAGGTGTATATATCCTGTCTTATACACCTTTCTGTGTATACATACCTTAGATATAGAATTATACCAGTGCGTTATAACGAATAACAAGTAAGCAACTTTATTCAGGTATACATAAATATACTTACATAAATTATCATGTATAGCAGAGTATGTTTTAAGAATCTAGGTTTGCGTGCAGCCAGCAGCAACAGCCTGGTTGATCAGGCTCTGATCCACCAGGAGGCCTGGTCACAGACCGGGCCGCAGGGGCGTTGACCCCCGGAACTCTCTCCAGGTCTCCAGGTAACCCAAAGTCAGAGTGACTTATTTTCATTCGTTCATTATTATTGTTTTGTTGTTTTGTTCATATATTCACAACAAACTCTAAAATTAAAGTGGGATCCCTCAGGAAGGGATCCTTTACCTAAAATTTAAGTCTGTGGTAAAGCGAGAATGTAAACAAACTGAAGATGTGAGAGTGACTTTCAAATTTGCTAATTGTTGGGTAGTGGAAGGAGGTTTTGACCCCAGGAAGGAGGGAAGGGAGGGTGTTAGTAATATCTTTATTTACTACCAGTACATGTACAAGGTATATAGACCATAGCTGATGTCAGTGACTTACTACTCTATTATAGAAAGTCACTTGTTATGCTGAGCATTTCCCGCAAATTAGGTCAGTTTTGTCCCAGGATGCGACCCACACCAGTCCACTAACACCCAGATGCGACCCACACCAGTCCACTAACACCCAGGTACCCATTTTACTGATGGGTGAACATAGACAACCGTTGTAAGGAAACACGCCCAATGTTTCTACCCTTGCCGGGAATCGAACCCGAGCCGTCGCCGTGTTAAGCGAGAGCTTTAGCCACCAGGCCACGGGGCACTGTTGGAGGAGATAGGGAGGGTGAGGCACTACAATACAGCAGTAAGCAACCTTATACAACCACCGAGGAGTTAAATGATAGCTCTAGGCCTTTCGTATTGCAATCAACACACCAGGAGCTTGCAATGTTGCAGAAATGAAATAGATTGATTATATGCGTTTCAAGCCTATAGATTACATGAGAGTTATTAAGGGCGTATACCAGTCAAGAAAACTTAATCGCAAAAATAGGAAGACATGTATTCGAGGGGAGCGCTAAACCCATAGGAGTCAGTGCCTGGGGAATGGGAAGCAGTCAGGGTTTGGTCCATGAAAGGGAGGGAGGGTAGCTGTGTTTCCCTGGATCAAGAGCTTTTCGGTAGCATTAAGGCACCCTGGTTGAAAAGGAGGCGGTAGTGTACATACACCGAGTTGTGTATTTCTGTATACACCAAGAGGTGTATGTGTGTGTCTTCCAAGGAGTATATCACTGTTTATACACTAACAAGTGTGTATATACACCGAGAGGTGTGTACCTCAGTATATATACACCGAAAGCTGTGTATATCAGTGTATACTATACACAACTGTGTTTATCTCAGTGTATATGCACTGAGAGGTGTGTAACTTCGTGTATATACACAGATATATCAGTATATATACACAGAGCTTGGGTGATGTAGTGAGGAGCAGGGATGGTATACTTATGTTATTGTTATGCAGAGTTGTGTAATTATTATTTTATTCATAGCTTATGCTAAGCTCGTGTTGGTTATTCATAACAAAAAGCTTTGTAATGCTCGGTGTAGTGATATAGAAATTTGCACGGCATAGTAATGTACTACGTGACCGTCGCTTTGTCAGCTGCCGTAAATTATAAATAACCACTGGGCTAGCTGGCTCTGATAAGATTCACCCAACTAGGTATATTTCTGTGCACCATAGGGAGGTTAGTATGGGCCGCCACTGTGGCCACAGATTTAGGTTTTTACGGACGAATCACATAACTGCATGCTGTGTTGTACTCGAGCTCAAGCCCTTTCAAAGCCGCCATTATGATTCACGAAATCGTGTTATTACGATTTCATGAGTTATGGTAGTGTTTAATAGGCTTTTCTAGGAGGATTGGTTGTGAGAACACATTATATTCATGGGTTAAACAGCGCCTAGGGAATAAGAAAGAGTGGGTGGTAATCAGATGTGATCCGATGAAGGGAAAGGTAGATTATAAGTAAGTTTATTCAGGTATACCATTATTATTATTATAATCAAGGGGAAGCGCTAAACCCGGAGGATTATACAGCGCCTGGGGGGGGATATGTGGAAGGCATTCAGGCTTAATTCGGGGAACTGGAGCACAGATCCAATTCCCTAAATCAAGAGCCCCTCACCAACATCAAGGAACCTTCCTTGAGGGGTCAGGTATACCAGAAACAGTTACTTATATTATCATACATAGCAGCATATGTGTAGAGAATCTAGGATAACTCAAAAAAATCAGTGACTTGTTGCCATTGGGGTCCTTGGATCAAGAGCTCTTCACTGGCATCATGGTAAGCACATAGGGTTAAGTGAACAGGAGCAGCAGTCCAGGTTTCTGCTAGGTTACCTCTACATTATTATTATGGGGGAGCGTTAAACCCGTAGGATTATGCAGCGCCTGTGAGGGGGGATGGAAGGTATTCAGGCTTAATTCAGGGAACTGGAACACAGACCCAGTTCCCTAAATCAAGAGCCCCTCACCAGCATCAAGGAACCCCCCTAGAGGGGACCTCTAGATGTGTGTTGCATCCTTCCCTTAGGCATCCAAATAAATAATATATAATTATATTTATGGGGAAACGACAAAATCGTAGGGGTCATATATCACCTGGGGAATTAGAGGCAATCAGGTTCGATCCAGGGAAAGGGAGCGTAAGTTCATTCCCTTGAACCCATAAGTAACACCCATATAACCCAACACTTCGAATGTTTTAATAAATGTACCTTTGGACCCTGTATAAAGATTATTAAATTCTCTTATAGTTAAATTAGTCCATGCTCCTCATTCCTACTTTCAGGATTAATTTAGTCTTGATTGTGTACAGCTGAATCACATTCCTAATGACCCAGATGCAGCTGATAGGTTTTAGGCATTAAAAAAAATTACCGAGCACATGAGCTGTGAAGAGTGTTGTTGTGCTACTGGAGTGAGTGAACCTGTGATTGAGTGGGTGAGTGAAGTCACTGAATCAGATCTGAGTGAGTTTGTGGCAGTGCGCGCCTCAGTGTGTTTAAGCAGTGTCCAACTTTCAGAATATGCTCTGCCGGGCCGCCTGTGATCGGCCCCACCACTGCACTAGACCTGTTTTAAATGTGTTTTTTTTTTCGAGACTTGTTTTTAAATGTTTCTTTTCGGAGTCACTTGGTGCTACATTGTGTTTTGTGTGTGAAGTGCGTGTGTGGTTGTCCGTGCCCGGGGTGGTCAACACATCAGCAATCTTCTATCAAGGTCTCGGCCATGGAGGCCTCTACTGAGTGTTAATCGAAAATACTCCTACTTTCATCCATGTTCCGATTTTTAATGATTGTGTTATGTTGTAATCGTTTAATGATATATTATTCGAGTAAAGGATTTCTAGTGTTTTGGAGTGAATTTCGTCCGTTCTTCCCGATGCAGCTTAGAGATAATCACTGTCAGAAGGCCTCTTGGTCTTCGAAGTCTCGCAAGGGTACTGGACGAGACTAAGAATGTTAAATGTGTTATATGATTGGCTTGCTCGGCAGGACTGACATTCCCCCGCTGTGAAACTTGATTAGTTGAAACAGTGGGAGTGATTACGCCCATTACCCCATCACAGCTACTTAGCCAATCAGGGAAGTGCATCCCCATAACTAGAGCAATGCCATGGGACGAAAGACGTTCTTATTGGCTGTGTAGGGGGGAGTTGTCTTACCTTCCCCCCCCCCCTTTCCCTCTGGTGCGCAATTCTCTTATCGTTCACCTTTTGAAGATATTGATCGCAAAACGGAGAAAACCGCACGAAACTCTCTGGAGTAGTAAAGTATTCCCTTCAGAGGTTTTAAGTTGCAGAAGAGGGCTCGAGGTAGCTCAGAAGAGACACACGGACTTGGGCGAGGCAAGAGACAGGTTGGGGACTCTCGAGACCATAACACATCATGAAATTTTCACACCTTCATGGCTATTTAGCCGTCATCATCCAACTGATTTTCTTTGGACTCTTCTGCATCTTCGTCAGGTCGGTACCGAGAAGATTTTTCAAATTTGATTTTTCCAATTTGCGACATTTAAAAATTAAATGTTGATTACGTGTTTCATCAGTTTTTAATTCTAAGCATTTTCCTTTCAAAATAAGTATATTGAATACAGAAATTTTGTTTTTTCGGGATTGAAAAACCTACCATTGCAAGACAGTGTAGACCTATATTGATCCACTAGGATTAAATAGGCTGTTTTTTGCCCTTCTATGATGTAAAATTTAAACCAGAAGGAGACTATCACAATTATTGATGGTTGTAGTTGACTAGTGTCTTCCTGTTAGTGAGCTCTGAGCTATAAATTAATTTACACTATAGTTTTGTGTATTTTGCATGCATATATATATATATATATATATATATATATATATATATATATATATATATATATATAAGTGTGGTGTGTGTGTGTATTATATATGGTTTTTCTTGTGTGTGGGGGGTTGGAATGGTTTTTCTTGCGCGTGTTGGGGGGTTGGAATGGTTTTTCTTGCGCGTGTGGGGGTTGGAATGGTTTTTCTTGTGCGTGTGGGGGGTTGGAATGGTTTTTCTTGCGCGTGTGGGGGGTTGGAATGGTTTTTCTTGTGTGTGGGGGTTGGAATGGTTTTTTCTTTGCGTGTAGGGGGTTGGAATGGCTTTTCTTGCGCGTGTGGGGGTTGGAATGGTTTTTCTTGCGCGTGTGGGGGGTTGAATGGTTTTTCCTTGCGTGTGGGGGGTTGGAATGGCTTTTCTTGCGCGTGTGGGGGGTTGGAATGGTTTTTCTTGCGCGTTTGGGGGGTTGGAATGGTTTTTCTTGCGCGTGTGGGGGTTGGAATGGTTTTTCTTGTGTGTGGGGGTTGGAATGGTTTTTTCTTACGTGTGGGGGTTGGAATGGTTTTTCTTGCGCGTGTAGGGGGTTGGAATGGTTTTTCTTGTGCGTGTGGGGGGTTGGAATGTTTTTTCTTGCGCGTGTGGGAGGGTTGGAATGGTTTTTCTTGTGCGTGTGGGGGGTTGGAATGGTTTTCTCTGCGCGTGTGGGGGGGTTGGAATGGTTTTTCTTGCGCGTGGGGGGGGTTGGAATGGTTTTTCTTGCGCGTGTGGGGGGGTTGGAATGTTTTTTTTGGCGCGTGTGGGGGGATGGAATGGTTTTTCTTGCGCGTTTGGGGGGTTGGAATGGTTTTTCTTGCGCGTGGGGGGGGGGTTGGAATGGTTTTTTCTTGCGCGTGTGGGGGGGGGGGTTGGAAGGGTTTTTCTTGCGCGTGTGGGGGGGGTTGGAAGGTTTTTCTTGCGCGTTTGGGGGGGTCGGAAAATTTTACATACGGACTTTGTTTTAAAAAACTTTATTTCTTTGTGCAATACAAAATGGATTTTACATGATATAAATATTTTAGCACAAAGGCACTAGCATGCTATGCATTTTTTGACAATTTAGCTTTGTTAATGACGTGTTTTGCGTGTATTATCGGTTGTGTAATGACTGTGTGTTTGTGTAAAACATAAGAACATAAGAACGAAGGAAAGCAGAAGGCCACTGGCCCTGCGAGGCAGTCCAGTCTCCTACCGGCTTAACCAATGCACCCAACCTATTCAGTCGGTAAATTTGACTTAAGGGAGGAACACGGCAACCGACCTGGTAGCACAAGCTATCAGGTCTAACTCACACCCACCCACATCTACTCATGTATTTATCCAACCTATTTTTAAAGCTACACAACGTTCTGGCCTCTATAACGGTACTTGGGAGTTTGTTCCACTCATCCACAACTCTATTACCAAACCAGCACAGAAATTATTACTAAAATCCAGCTACATCACTGTCTTGTACACACTCATCCAGGAATTATATTTACCCTAATATGTAGTTTTAACTAATAACAGGCATGGTGCTATTAATTTCAAAACCCTAAATTATTTAAAAAATTCAAGAATACAAGGTTTTATGAACTGCTGAGTGTATAAATGATGAATTTGCTTTAGGCTTCCCAGAAGTATTTAAGTACTCGCCTGGTTATTTTTCTTCTAGCCTATATTTTTTTTCGTTCAAGGCTGGTTTACTGTAACTAAGGTATAAGAGTTTTGCAACTTTTAGCATGGGCAGGTGTCCTATGACCAGAGTTGCTCAACCCATTAAGTGAATATTACGAGTCCTAATGCGGGTCTTAGATGATGACCCACCGTTGGAGCTTTTGGTCATCTGACCGAGGCCTTCCACTGGCTTGCCCCTCCATAATTATAACCAACATATTCTTCTAGTCTCCTCTCCTTGGCTTGAAACGTTAAAAAAAAAAAGGCGCCTCGTACCTCGACTACCGCATAAATTAACGTTAAATATTAATTTTCTTCCGAATAGCTTCAATATTTAATGACTGATGCGTCTTACGGATCGGATAGTACCCATTTTACTGTATTTTGTGCTAGCAAGTATATTGAAATAGTTAAAAAATGGAATCGTTGGAATCCAATGCCATAACTGGAAAATGCTTCTGATCTTCTAATGTTTTTTCATCCCTGGTATATTATAGTCTAGATAACAAGGTGCCTGTTATTGTCCTAAGTCCCAATTTTATTAAATAGTGATACTGATTTCCATTCAGATACTAAATACCCTGTTTAATCGGCTTGAGAATATTAAAGTTCATGCATTCAAAATTTTGACAGTATAAGTTACACTGGTATAAAATCGTACTTTCCTATGATTTATATGACCGATCCGGTCATATTGTTAGGCACAGTATTCTTTTCCACTAACTTGCTTCCAAAGGCTTTCGTTTATAACCTCAAGAACTGTATGATCCTCGTGGGTTTAGCGCTTAGCTCTGACTGTACTGTTATTAATCTCAGAGCTCCTTATCAAATTGTTCCTTTTGTTTGCAACTATTTCTAAACCATTACTAGTACCTTTGTCTTAATCTACATTTAACCTTAATCCATTGACCAGTTTTCTTGGTTATATATCTTCAGCACCCTAGTTAGGTTTTTATTTATATCTGATTTAAACTTTACCTTTCATATCTACCCTCATTCTACGTCTTAGAGGAGTGAAGGTTCAGGTCTTCAGACTATCTTCGTAATAGAGAGTCCATGTACAGTGGATTACTTTTGTCATCCTTCTCTTGGATTCTCCAGTGTGTTATTTACATTCTCCAGTGTGTTATTTACATTCTCCAATATGAAGACCAGAACCGCATAAGACAATCCTAAAAGTCTTAGTAAATGTGTGGAGAAACAGACCCCTGGGTACTGCTATTATGGCCTCAGATTTCTGCTCACCCTAATTCCCACATCTTATTTTACGTATGTTAATAGCTCTGTGTTTAGTTTAAAACTGTTTGTTTTTATTCCTGAGGATCAAGACTGTACATTTCCACATTACGCTATATCTACCACTTTTTAGACTACGTTAGAACAAATCAGTCTGCAGTTATGTTTTTCTCTTAATTTGCCTGCTTCTTTGTATCAGCAAATCGACGTGATTCATTCCTTCATCAGAGTCATTAATGTAGATTTTGAAATCAAGGGCCCAAAAATAATCCTCTTGGAATGAAAATTTACTATCCTATTCTGTTTTCACTCCGTATGTGCAAACACTTCTGCCTGTTTGTAATCCTTGAGCCATGAGAATTTTCCCTTTTGTTTCTCCTCCCCCCATGTTCTGCAAATTTCTTAAATCTTCTGTGTAGGGCTATTGAAAGCCTTTAAATCTAGGTAGATCACATTCTTTACCATAGTCTACATCCTCACATGTCGTAAAGACAAGCCAGTAAACTTATTTGGCATGGACGGCCTCTAATTATATCATGGGCAGTCTTGTTGTCCATTTGTGATCATTTATATTTGATCTAATTTCTCAGTCGGTAATAACTGTTCCTTGGACATCTTGTACAATAGTTGTATTTACAGTTCTTTGAGTTAGTATTTAAGATTATTGATTATTATCGTGGGTCAAATTATCACATGGTAGAGTAGCCAGTATTTACCAGAGTTCATTGTCGTATTCAGCGAAAATGTGAGACTTTTACTTCGTTTACTCATGTATTTCTAATATTAATAAAATATGTGATCGCCTGTGACAAGCCCTTTTGTGACCTAGATTTACAAGCATTTCTTTAGAAGAGGCAATCCTTAGTCAGGAAATTTAAAATTTTGCTGGGGTATTATAAATTTGTGCAATGGTTCTGAGGACGCATACGTTTTAGGCATATATTAGCGTTATGTAGATTCAACTTAGGCTTCTGAAAGTCACTTACTGCAAAGCCTCGTTGGTAACATCGTCCCATCAACAGATAAGTTACAAGATCATGTGAGGAGACTTGTCAGCAGGATTAACAGGAATCACTGAGATGTCAGTACAGAGCTGCACAGTAGTGCTTAGTTGTTACCATTCCCTTAATAAGGGAGCTCCTTGATGCTGAAGGGCTCTTGATCCAGGGAATTAGAACTACATTCCCATCTCGGATCAAGCCTGGTTCACTTGTTCTCTGACACGTACGGGTTTAACTCTTACTCCTGAGTATAATGCGGTGGGTTGTAGCAACACTAGCTCTGGTATTAGCACAGACGAGTGTGTGGACATAATGTGAGGAGAGATCTAAAGCAAGAGTTTTGTATATATTACTCTATACTTCAGTTTTATGTGGATCATCCAAGTGTGTGCGAGTGTAAACTGTCATGGGGGATGGGTTTATCGTAGATTATGCGGTGCACTTCTGGTCTCCATACTACAGGAATGGATATAAATACATTAGAGAACGTTCAGAAAAGATGTTAAAATTAATGCACTGTATACGGAATCTTTCATACGAAGATAAAGCCCTGAGTTTTGCACTCATGAGACTTCGATTGAGAGATGTCTTAAATTTAAGTCAGATATGTTAGCACATAATCATTAAAATGACAAATTCCCATGACGTTAGAAAATACATAATACATTAACAGTCACAACACGGCTGATTTCTTGCATTACCAATTTCTTCTCATCCGATGAGGTTGAAGGTTATGGTAA